TAAATTTTGTGACACTGAACTTAAAGACATATTGTATAATATTTGTCCATTCGCCTATATCAAACAAATCTTGTATTTTGATTCTATCATTGTATATATGAAAAGTTTTGGCGCGTATTTTGATCAATATATTATTTTGCATCAAGGGCTTCTTTCAATGCATCATAGGAAATCAATGATTTAAGCTTAATGGTGATATTGCATTTCGCAAGTTTGATACAATCTATGCCAATAATTATCTGTTGATTTATGGAATTGCCAAACAGAATGTTCTCAAGAAAGAAGAGGGTGCAAAGGCTAACAAGTGATATATTTGAAATGCAAACACATATTTCAATGTGGTAACTTTATTGATAATTCACTGTTTAAATTAAACAGTGTCAAGTTATAGATTCTTATCTGCATAATCATGAAAACTCGAAATACATATTTTACACATGGTCTCTCAAACAGAACTACTCTGATTGAACTTAAGGCTAAAATAATGCTATTTCAAACATATTCTACGTGTTCTAGAAATTGCACATAAACTGACAGTGAAAATGTCCGCTTTTGATATATTTCGATCAGACGCTATGTGTTTTTTTCCATTTCACTTACAGAAATCAATGTGATCACGTGAGACATATCTCTGCAACGTGAGATGATAAGCGGGTAAGATAACTATTATAGATTGATGATGATACCATTTGTTTTTTGAAAACAATTTGAGGTTCGTGTCTGCAGATTTAATCATATATGTCCCAAAGGTAATGGTTTCACCGTCGTTTCCAGTGAGCAGTTTTTTAACCATCATACTGGATGTGTATAGTTACAAGAAATTTCAACCTTGCTGTAGGGTAAATTAATATGAATATCGGAAGATACAGTGCATTTTAATAGTCTATTGATAATTTCATATAATTTGTCATAAAATATGTTTTAATGAAAAAATAAAAAATGTTACAAATTTTTTTTTCTTCATGTGTGAGGCCATATTTTACGTTGAAAAACTCGATTTTGGGTAATTTCAGGTATTTTTATAATTTTCTGTTAGCCCATTCCCTCATATACAAGCCTTTTAACGCCTTCTCCATCCCCCTTTTTGAAGCCTCAAATGGTGAATAAAATACCTTATTTAGGCTGGCAAGACTTGCTTTTGTTTGAAAAATGTTCTTTAAAAAGGTGATCACTTTTTTGGCGCCGTACCCTCTCAAAAAATACATCAAGGGGTACCAGAGGGGATTGCCACTTCTGTTTGGGGGTTTGAAGGAGACGGTAGCCCCCTCCCCACCCTCCTCACCAAGGAAAATTTCGGACTTGCGTGAGGTTAAAAATGACCTCAAATCGAGCATAAAGTAACGTGTAGCCAAAGCTGAAAAGCCTTGAAAAACCTATATCTATCCATTGAGAAGTTGCAGCACTTTGCAGGAAAAAAATTCGCAAATAGCAATTTTTGGCATTTTTTAGATGCCCCCTCGTTACCATGGTAACAGGATATTTAAGGCTGAGCATGTCGTTACAAAGGCAATGGTCCACTCAACAAGTGTGCCAAGTTTGAACAGTTTTGAAACATTTCTAATAGTTTCATAGCAATTTGAACTTGTAACGAGCGGCTTTTCTTTGGAAACAGCCATTTTCACAAAATCCCCATGCGGTAATGGGTTAATGATTATCATCCAAATTGTTTTTTTTTTAAAAAAACACAGGCTTAAACATCAACAACAAAAAATATTACTAATTGTAATAATAATCATCATCATCATCATCATCATCAAAAAGTCGTGAAAATCATTATAAGGGTTATATAATAATAATAATAATAATAATAATAAATAAAAATCATCTTCATCATAATAATAATGATAATACATTATTATTATTATTATTATTATTATTATTATTATTATTATTATTATTACAATTATTATTATATAAGCCTTATAATGATGATATGAGGAACAATATTGAATGATAACAAATGAAACGTCTGCTTACAGTATGTGTTTTGCTTGCTCTTCCGGGGAATCCGATGATAATGTCTTGTGGAATCTAACAGCTATTCGCTTTTCCATTTTAACAGTAACGATAAGTTCTAAGAATTACAACGACTAACTATTCAATCGTATTTGTACAATCTCTGACTTTGAAACGAGCATCATCAACTGTAGGAAAATTGGTAATAGAAAAATTTGAATATAATTCAAATTCTTGTTTTATTTATCTTGTTTAATCAATGATGCTTAAAAAAAGCAAAACAAAATATAAAAAAAAAAATCATTTTCAAGAGAAAACATTTTAGAGTACTTCACAATATCCAATTTCAACTGTAGGAGGAAAAAGTGAAACTATTTCATGTATTTCCATAAGCTCTGTATCATGAACGTTGCATTCATTTCTTCTTAAAGATATGCTATAAGGGCGTCCGTGACCGAGTGGTTATGGTTGTTGACTTAAAACCACCTACCACCTGCCCCCTCGCCGTTGCGGGGTCAAATCCTGACATGAACTTAGGATTCTTTTATGCGAGGAAGCGGCTCAAAACGTCGGAGTTTCTACTTAGGTGCCTGAAATACTACACGGACGGACGCTGAGTTTGAAAGAGGACATTATATGTTATATGGTGCGACATAAAATCCAATAAAAATATATGCAGTGCAATTGCGTTGAATAAGCAACTTCTAAAACGTCTGATATTGCATAAACAACTACACACAAAAGAATGTAATAATTGTTACAGCTAGGCATGGTAACAGAGTGAAAGATGGAGATTACAGGTATCAATCTGGCATCACTTCATGACAAATTAACACCGGTGCCTTTCCATCAGTCTTCACAGAGGAATTCGAAAAGTTGTCAGGAGATTGTTGATGTGTTTTTTCTCTAAACCATAGGAATGTTTCTTTTTTGTTTTCAATTACATGTACATTGTATTTTTATATTAGCATTCAGTTGCCTATCACCAAACTCTTAAATGGCTGCAAATATCGATGTTGTAAAAGCATTTATGATATGCTGTGATACAATTAAATAATAACAACTAAAAAAGGTTAACATCTCAAAAGTCAGGGGTCACACACTAGGTCAACAGGTCAAATTTACAGAACAAATTTATTTACACACTAGATGCATTTTGACCATGTCTTTATACAGAAAAATCTGGAAGAAGGGTAATCCCTCGGAACCATGCAACAAAATTACATGTACATGTAAATTGCAGACTCGGTTTGATTGAATCTGTGTCTGAGGGATATAAAAATGTGCTTGTGTTTCAGATTGTCTTTCTCATTGACTGGTCTAATTTAAATATTGGGCCTCTGGAGTCAATAACTACCTCACCATATCTTATCAATGAATGATCTTTAAGGTGTATGCTACGTACGGTTCCATATAGATATACTGCAGAATGTAAACTGTGGGAAATACGTTTAGACTTTGCATGAACTTTAAATATGATATCAGAAACATTATTATTTAAAATTAATTGGAATGGCATCGACTTAGTTTTCGAATTATCTGCCCTAAATGTGAAACATCTTATTCTAAAGACAGATAATTCACAACCAAGAATAGCTATATGTGTAAATTATTCTATTTTTCGTGTAGCTGACTTCTTTCTGAGGGATTGTGCAAAATTTCAAAAGTTGGCAATGAGCAGTTAGTTTTTTTTCTTCCTTACTGAAAACTATAGCAATTTCTTTATAGTATGGCCAATTTTAAGAAAGAAATATCATAATTGTTACTCAATACTTTCCATGAAAAACATTCTTTGTTTTTAACTGTGACATTGAATGTCAATGCAAATAAATAGTAGTTTTTATACATCTGTATGATAAAATGTTCATAGTAATGGCTATATTAGAACTTAAAGGTTGATTGATAATTGTAGAGGGGGGGGGGGTGTTTTTGGTTTGTTATTTTTTTGTGTTTTTTTTTTTTTTTTTTTTTTTTTTGTGTTTTTTTATGTTTAAGATTAGTTTGTACATGTCCCTGCACGATGAATACCCCATCAAATGTTTACGTAGTATAAAACAACATTACAACGACCGGGCTAGGAGGGCGTTCTGTCCTGTTGTTACATTCAAATAATGAAATATCACATAAACAGTAGGCATCTTTAACACTAGATATCGACAATAACTTGTCCTACTCGCTTAGAAAGACTGCTTTGTTATGGGTCGTTCCCGGCATCTTTTGCGTAGCGTAAGGGGAAGGAACTCCAGACTAGTCATTGATAATCAGGGAATATGTAGTTATTTCCCTTTGGTAAAAGATTCATTATTGACGTTCATTATTAAATGAATTTTTAAAAAAGGCTCTTGATCGAAACATTGCTACCGTTTACTCCAACTTGTACCAGCTAAAAACAAATCTACATTTGAAAATAAAAATGGTATAATTCAGAATTCCATAATTAATTTATCTGCAGTTGCATTCATACGCAATGGTAACATTTAGGATTCAAAACATATAAGCAGGAATATGAATACGACAGTGCCATGGAACCGCAATGTTTCACTTTCTCCCTATTCCATGAAAAGTATGACTTTTGATCACTCTAATTAACGCGTGTCCTAAACGAAAAAAAAAAACAAGGGACAAACCTTAATAAAACGGACTTTGCGGAAGGGATCAGTGGTTGTTAAACTTGTGTATCACAAACAGCTCTCAATAGGTTGGTAGCAATATATATCTAAATGATGAAATCGGAATACGATCCATAGAAAAAAAAGTATAAAGAACTAAAAGTTATACAAATAGTACAATAAACTTTTTTGATTTATTGTTAGAGATCATGCATTTGCTCATTTATAAGTGCTATACAAGTTTGCAGTAGTGCCGAATGTGATGTGTTTACTCGAGCATGATTTACAACTTTACATGTGGATTAATTTTTTCCTTGTTGAGATCCTGGAAAATATTTGTGTCTGTTCTACAACCCTTTGGCACTGACAAAAATTAGTGAAAGTACATATAAAGAAGCGCGAAAAACGCCGGCTCGCTTTCTTTTCTGTAGATAAGCATCGTTGTGTTAATATCGAAAGCTCTTCAACTTAGGAAACCAATAAAACTAGTTTTGACAGCTTGCGGGAAAATTTGAGCGCAAAAAGTGCCTTTTCGACGAAGTTGTTATTAACACTGATTAAAACGTTTGAGAAGTGGGTATGTTCTATAAAAGTTTCAAGTTTTAAGTTTATTAAAAGAAATCTAGTAATCTCAGTAATCTATTCTGTAAACACGAATATTTTGCTGCATGTGACCACAGATCTACATCTATTCAACTCCGTGATGTGACATATTTTAATTTCTAAATATTATCGTGTTTATTTATTAGAAATTATATAACCATTGACATGATTGATTAGTCTATACTTCTACAGTGTTACTGCATGTATATAATTTTAAGATAGATCTACGTGACAAAAGCACGTTTATGCATTAGTAAATCTGTACAGTACATGTATATAAGATATTTTAGTAAACTTTTAAGAAGGCGCAGTTACGCAGGTCTATGCACAAATTATGTTAATACTATCTATAAATTTACTGATTTATAGACAAAACCCATTATGATTCATAGCCAAGGGGAAGTCAAAGGCCCGGACCGCGAAGCGGCTATAGACTACATGTGCATCAGGATCCATGCTGTTCGCTTACAAACCCTATAACAAGTAGAGAAACTGATGGCAAACAGCATGGATCCTGATCAGACTGCACGGATGGGCAGGCTGGTCTGGATACATGCTGGTCGCAAACCCATTATGTTGGTTTTGTCGTGACACGGCTTATATCTTTCTTGTCATTGCCAGGTCAAAATGCAAAGGTCGGCCAGAATGAAGAAAGAAATAAAGATGTTATCAGAGTCGCCTCCCTTTGGCATCTCATGCTGGCCAAGTGGAGACAGTATTGATCGCCTTGAAGCAAGTTTGTATATTTTTCAGCTAATTTTCATTGTTCCAGGTCAGTTTATAAGATCTCGAAATTGATACCTTTGGGATTTTTCATGTATCAATATGCTTATCTTGCAAAATATATATACATGTACTTCAATAAAGTGCTCATGATATTGTTTTGTTGTTGGGAGTTACAATAATCAAGTAGACTTTACAAAAACTTGACATGTATACTTTATAAGATGTAAAATTATTCTCCTAAAATCCTTAACATCGAGACTGGCTAGACATGTTATTGAGCATGCACAATATGCATATATTATAAACTAGCTGTTCAGCTGATATTCCTACAGATATAATGTACATAAAAAAGAAGAAATTATTTAAACTTAATAACAATTAAGTAACAGTTTCCGTAGCAGTAAAGTTAAGACTGTAAATTTCACTTAAACTTGATAAATATTCTCTTATAACTAAGTTTGATGCCAATTCAACTATTTTTCACTAAATTTCAGTTACTTTATACATGTAGAATTTGAAATGCGGAAAGTGGGATGTTTTTAACCAGGTTTTCAATTTTGAAAATCCTGGTTATTAGATTGGGGTATGGCGGGCGGATGGGCGGGCAGGCGTCAAACGAAATTGTGTCCGCTCTGTAACTCTTCAACCCTTTGAAGAATTTTGATGAAACTTCAGACAAATGTTTACCACATCAAGATGACGTGCAGAACGCATGTTCCGCATGGCTGGCTCCAAGGTCAAGGTCACAGTGACATTAACATTGGCGTCAAACGAAATTGTGTCCGCTCTGTAACTCTTCAACCCTTTGAAGAATTTTGATGAAACTTCAGACAAATGTTTACCACATCAAGATGACGTGCAGAACGCATGTTCCGCATGGCTGGCTCCAAGGTCAAGGTCACAGTGACATTAACATTGAAAATCCTGTCCGCTCTGTAACTCTTCAACCCTTTGAAGAATTTTGATGAAACTTCAGACAAATGTTTACCACATCAAGATGACGTGCAGAACGCATGTTCCGCATGGCTGGCTCCAAGGTCAAGGTCACAGTGACATTTAACATTGAAAATCCTGTTTACATGATTTTAACTTGATTTGGCAGTCAAAGGTCATATCATCTTTGGAGGTAATTTAAAAAGATATGATATATTATTTCATGTCTACTTTGTAACTTGAAAATTTTAAAAAATTTGAACTTTTTGAAGAATTTTAGAGCAAGCGTATATTTCTATATGATGTTTCAGCAGTTGATGTCTCAATGATTGTACTAAAACATCTATAGAACCCTCTCAAACTTGCTTTCATTTAACTCAAATTGTTGTCTCATTATTAAGTATACTCCTTGCAGACAGTATTGTTAGCCGAAATTTACATCCTACTCATTATCATGTATTCTCATGAATATTATCTTTTCCTTCATGTCATGTTATAATCTTTTGAATATTCATAGCAATCTTCATTCCAAAATTCATACTATAGTATAGAATCAGAACAACATTTTTGAAAACCTGGTTTCGTGGCATTGCCATGTTTCTTGTTAACAATTTACCTGCCTTGATCATTGATATGGGGAATGCTTTGCCATACTATTAGGAAATCAAACATGTTGTGAACTTTCCAAACTTTTCGTCAAACAGTAGTAAGCGTGAATCGTCCAAATTTACAAATGTTAATTGTAATTGGATTTGAGTTACATCTGGAAATGAAGTGTTGCAGTTGACTGTTTACCACTTACGTGAGCGGATTTAGATTTGCCCTTATCTATCAATCACTTTGGCAAGCTGTCCATCTGTCAAACTACAGTTTGCAGTAAGTGTACAGATTTTTGTAATAATTCAGTGGAATGTAGGTGCATCTATGTGTTATGGACACATTTCTAGTTAAGTGCACTCAGTATTAAAACAATTATTTTCATTAGAATAGACAGAGACATTTAATTTTCCTTGGCATGAAAACAATATTTTTCGTTTCATTTCTTTTTCCCCAGTAATTTTAGGTGGTGAAGATACACCGTACAGTGGGGGAGTGTTCAAGTTAGAGATTCAAATACCAGACAGGTATGCTTTTTCAACTTTTTGTTCCAAGTTTTAGAAAAGTCACAAGGGAGCAACTACGGCAGAATGGGCAGAGGTGGCTTGACTTCAAATCACTTGCCCCTAACCACTGTAGTTTTGAATCTTGTCAGTGTTTTAATTACATTCTTATATATGAGGACCTTAAGTCACCTTATGCAACTAGCTTATGGGAAAGTGTCTGTGGTTCAACTCAATTATTCACTTATGCCTGAAATGCTGCATGAAATATTGTGAAGTGAACAAAAAATGTAATTTACACATTAAAAACGGCACTTACAATCCACATTAATTACCAAAACGAGGTCAAAATATTCAAAATTAGTCCTTACTGTTTTTTCACGCAGTAGAAATATTGTGAAAATACTGAAAAATCACTTATTAATGGATCATAACATGTACAATATTACTTGAAACTTGATCTTTTTACTTTTCTTAATATCTCAGTACATTTTTCTTAAGTTTAATTTTCTTGAAATAGTTTAACTCGTCTGGAGGCATACTGCTTGAAATGCAGCTTTTTCTTAATTTTTAGTTTAAAGCATTTGCACCAATTGTCACAATAAAAATGATTTTTTCTTGAAAAAAATAGAGCGAGCAAATTATCTGAAAATGTTGCACACAAGTAACTGGTCCAGATGGTAGACCTTCAAATATAAGAATAATAATATCTGTCATATGTTGCGGTTCCGACCGGAATATCCGTCCCGAGGGGACCCTCCCATGGGCGGGTTCCCGAGGGACGGATATTCCGATCCGAACCGCAAACATATGTTACATATTTTTTCTTGCATATTCTGCCATAATATTTCATATTTAAAATGGTTTACCTCAATATGATATATGTTCATGGAAATTAAAGTCATTTCATCCATAACTATTTTCTAACAATAGCGTATGAACTTACAACTTAAATAACAACGGCGAAATGACGTCATCCTTAGCACATATTTCCCTTCTAAAACGACGTCATTTTAACGCGGTTCATTCATAAAGCGCGCTAAAATGACGTTGTTGTTTGGCACGCGACTCATCTGGCACCCCCCATGCCAGATGAAATTTCCGGCATGGGTAAAACTCACGGAAACGCCAGTCTGATATGCAAGAAAAGTATTTCTAGTACAGCCTTATAGTGTCCTTTTAATTATTATCTAGGGAATTTTCAAGATTTTTGTTTCGCCGAGCTACAGAGTAGTGGCAACATATAGGGATCACTTCTCTGTGGCTGTCCATTTATATTTTCAGATTTATCTCTCTTTGAATTTAGGATTTTCTTTAAGAAATATTGTAACTTCTTTTCATTTTTAAGGTATCTACTTCAAACTTCAAATATATATTTCTTATCATTAGTGATTACACACATGTTGTGTGACAAGGTTCATAACTCTAGCGTGACTGTTTCCCGAAGAATTATTCCCCCTTGAACATGGAATTTATGTTTTTAGCAAATGTTATTTTTTTACTATAACTTAATATTAAGTATACATAAATGATTTTTCTTTCATAGTTTTGTCTTCCTTACTGCGTCCAGTATTTTATAAGTGGAGTCTCACTGTCTGACAAGCTCTTGTCTTGTGTGTTGCCAGATACACAAAAACTTGTCTGGACTACTTCTCAAAAACTAATGGTGCAATTTTATCCAAACTTCACAGGAATGATCAGTATCATGTCTAGTTGTGCAAATCATCGGCTTTTTATGGTTCAGTGTATGTTGTTGGAGTTTATGGCCCTTTAATTATTTATAATTTTGTTAAGTTTGTCAGGACTATTTTTCTTATACCTTTTAATTATGCAATTTCAATGAGACTTTACATATTGATTGGAAGGTCAAGCACTTTGTCATATTACACAGGTTTTCGGCTTGAATGATTTTTTGGCCCAGTTATGGCCCTTGAATGAAAAGGGTGTTAATAAAGTTTGTCATGACTACTCCTCTTATACTATTATTGCAATTTAAATGAAACTTTGCAGGATTGATTGGTAAGCCAAGTACTTGTGCAAAATACACAACTTTTTCGCTTAAATGATTTTCAGCTCAGTTTTGCCCTTGAATAAAAAAGTGTTTTGCTCTGTTAATGATTTTTGGGTCTCCAGCTACACAGTAGCTGACTAGCTGCAGCATGCAATTGGCTTCCATGAGGCAACACATGTCATCACTGAGGGTCTATGTCAAAAAAAGGCCTACATGGACATTCATCTTGTGTTTTTTTTATTTGCAAAGAGATCTCTGTTTGTGGTCTTCCTGTACCCATTTATTGATTTTTTTGTACCTACGAGGGATGTCCGGAAAGTTTATATACTTATTTATTTTTTATTGCATAACAATACATACGTTGTACCAATTTTGTCAGCAAAAATGTACATACCTAGCGATCACATTTATCAAAAATACGGAATTATGACTTACGTTTGTATTTATACAGCATTTTACATACAACATATTTACATCGTCATGGAGCACTTTGACAACGTCAATGGCGTCAATTTAATTTCATGTTTTTCCACTATTCAATTTCTTCCGATTTAAACAGCCATGGAACCTGCCTGGCGTATACTTTATACGTGCTATGTTCCTTTGCTATTACTTTATGAATTTCATATACTACATTTACAACAAAAAACAAACAACAACAACAAAGGTGTCAGTGGTTCCCATACAGTGTGTGAAATGTCTGTCTTTTCAAGGATTGTTGTAACGCAATCTACGACATTTCGGCCATGCTACTTTTGGTCGTCTGATACGGTTCTTATACAAAATACTGTCATCACCGCTTCTTTATCGTGTTTGACAATTAAACACAAGTTGCCCTTAACAATTTATGGTTGTTTGTGTTTTTCAAGCAAAGATTATAATCATTATTAGTGTTGCTTTGAAGTTAGATAACATAACGTTGCTCCGTCCTTGAATTTGACGTCATTTTTTGCAACACAAAACTAACAAAACTTCATTGCCTATAATCATCGTTAACAAGTTGTTTCTTTGCGTATGATGTCGTAATTTTCACTAAATATCACGCAATAGTACCCTTTGATGTCACAACATTAAAACAAGAGTTTGCGTTAAAATTACAACTTTTAGCCACTTATTCGAGTAGCTATTATCATGAAATCAAAGTGCTCCGTGATTCGTTGATCATGTTGCCATGGTGATTGGCGATTTGTGAATACAACTTTTATCATGTTTTTAATTTCAAAATTTGTAGCAGAATAAATAATTAAGCAAAATATTTAATCATCATATTAATATGACTGCTGATAATAATTTTATAGCCTTGTCTACGAACTTTCCGGACAGCCCTCGTATTTATAGATTTACATGTAATTTTCAGGTATCCATTTGAGCCACCAAAAGTGAGGTTTGTTACCCCAATATATCATCCTAATGTAGATACAGGCGGACGGATTTGTCTTGATACACTAAAAATGCCACCCAAGGTATGTTTGTATATACTTTTTAGCTCGACTATTCGATAAGAATAAGTAGAGCTATTGCAGTCACCCGAGCGTAGGTGTCGGCGTAACCACTTATGTTAAAGTTTTTGTAATACCTCAAATATTTTCAAAGTCCATTGACATATGGCTTTGAAACTTTGCACACTTGTTTACTATTAAACCCCAACCTGTAGACAGGAGGAGTAAAAGTATCAAGCATTTTGACATAATTATGCCCCTTTTTTTACTTAGAATTTATGTTAAAGTTTTTTGCAATACCTCAAATATTTTCAAAGTCCATTGATATATGGCTTTTAAACTTTGCACACTTGTTCACCATCATGACCGCAACCTGTAGACAGGAGAAGGTAACTGTATCAAGCACTTTGACAGAATTATGCCCCTTTTTCAACTTAGAATTTACATTTAGGTTTGCATACCACCACAGATATTTTCATATTCTATTGAAAAAAGTTGAAATTTCATACTCTTCTTTGAGAGCATAATAAGACTCTCTCTAAGGCCTATAACTGTAACATGGATTTAAAGAAAATTTGTGTCCTTTTGTTATTAACTCAGAAAATTTTACATTATCAAGGCTCTTTTACTATCAAGCACTAAGAATAGTCAAGCCTTGCTGTCCTACCGACAGCTCTTGTTCTTCTTTTTCTTTTCGGGACCCAAAAACAAGGATGACCCCATTTATTCTCCCCGTCTAAATGATCAGTATGGGTCGGGGAACCATTTCATACCGACCTTACAAAATCACTTGCATATACAGTACATAATATGCAACAGGTTTAATTTTACAATAATTCATGAAAAACTACAACAATTCTTTTCCTACATTCTTTTCAATTGATATGCGACTACAGACAATTTATTTGACTTTCCATTTTTTCAAAATATCTTTTTCTTTGCAATATTTTTTGCAGTAAATCTGGTTAACATGTTAAAAGGAATTTCTATAAAGAGATTCGCAGTACATACCAAAAAAAATAAATCAAATTTTGATTTACCTAAGATTTACCAAAAAATCTATGGTTTGTAAATTGTTTCCACAAAGCAATGATATATGCAGTCAGTAATTTTTTTACCTTTAATTTACAGTCAAATAAATGCTGTTTCCCTTAGCCCAAAATAGGTATATTTTCCCCTAAAAATGCTTATATTTTTCCCAAAAGGTCAGTGGACATTCTTCACCATGTTCATGACTTAACAGCAGCTGACTTATATCAGCTAGAAGACAGAAAGCTATCCCTATAGATAGTCTCTGCTATGAACCATGCATGCTAAATTGCATTGAAATTAAAAATATTATAAAATGTGTGTAAATTCTATTCTCAGTTGTTGGAATTTGATTTCCCCTTTTTAGCTCACCTGTCCTGAGCTTGCTCAGGGTGAGCTTTTAGGATCGTTGAATGTCCGTCGTCTGTCGTCTGTCCACACTTGTTTGTTAACACTTTAGCGGTCACATTTTTGCCTCAATTATCGTTAAACTTTGTCAGGATGCTTATCTAGGTGATAGCTCGGATGAGTTCGAACATGGGTGAAAAACTATGTCACAGGAGCTAAACATAGAAAAATCTTGTTAACAGTCTAGTGGTCACATTTTTGCCTCAATCATCATCAAACTTGGTCAGGATGTTTGCCTAGCTGATAGGTTGGATGAGTTCGAACATGGGTCATCCCAGATGAAAAACTAGGTCACCGGAGCTAAAAATAAATAAACCTTGTTAACACTCTAGTTGCTACTGTTTTGATCCAAGTATCCTGGAAATTGGTCGGAAAGTTTGTTTTGATGATTTCTAGGTCAAGTTAGAATATGGGTCACCTGGGTAAAAAACTAGGTCACACTGCTCAAATATGGATAATCCTTGTTAACACTCTAGTGGTCACATTTTTGACTCACCCTGGGTAATTGTTCATATGATTTTGATGGGTCAGGTGAACGATCTACGGCCATCATGGCCCTCTTGTTTGATTTATGGCTCTTTTACCCCTTCAGAAAGTTACAGGTTGTTTTGAAAATTTAAAAAAAAGATCACTGGCAGTTAAGGCCCCAACGATTACACATTTAAACGGATTCGTTTCGATTTTCATTCATAAACGTTTACAATATTGTTTACCGTTTAATCGAATAATGACCATATTGTATTACAAAATTTTTTAATCATTGCCTGAAATCATAGATATTATCAATTCTAGTGGTTTATTCCAAAGTAAACAAACGGAAAATGGGTGTTTACAACCCTCCACACAGCATTACCGTGCAAAATTGCTTGTGACATAATACATTTTTGGTAAAAAATAGGGTTACAATGCAAAAAATGTGTGCTGACTCAATCGTGATGAGCCTTGCACATTCTTTATTTGTACATGTATTAAAAATAGAAAGAAAGAATCATTTGGCGACTCAAATACATGGTGTGTATAGTACATAGAGGTACCACCGTTTAAACGGTATCATTTCGGTTCTTAGCAGTCGTGTAAACGTTTACAAAAAATTGTAAATGTGGGAGCCTTACTGGCAGTAAATAAATGCATTTATAAGCTTCATACAAGAATATTATAATTAAAGATTTTGATAGGAACTTTATTTCACAAACAATTCTATATTATTATCACAGTAACTTTAAAGCCAGATTAACATCACTTTATATAACTGTAAAATTTTCCTTCATACAGGGAGCGTGGAAGCCATGTTTAAATATCAGCACGGTCCTGACGTCTGTACAGCTTCTGATGGCAGAACCCAACCCTGAAGATCCCCTCATGACCGATATTGTATGTAATAATTTTTTTACCTTTTTAATGTATCGGTGCAAACCCGTCTTCATAAATAAAGGGACACAACTGAGGCTTTGGGACTGTAATTTTATTTTATTTTTTCAAGTTTTGTGTACCAGTAACTTGTGTGCAAACTTTCAAATCATTTGCTCACTCTAGTTTTTTCCTGAATAATGCTTTTAATTGTACAAATTCATTGAAAAGAATTTTAATTCTTTTCAATCAAATGGACTAAGAATTGCATTTTTTAAAAATTCAATTTAATATTGAGTATATTTTTTTTATAGCTTGCAACTTTTTTTCCATTTTAAGAGTCCCAGTTGATCTATGTTAGAATATAAAATTTAATGTTTTTAGTCTTTTGGACCTCAGTGGAGCTCCTTTAATTTAAAAATATGACAAGAGGTTGATGATTTTATAAACATAGCTCTTATTATTATCAATTAAGGTTAAAACATGGGCCACACTTTTTTTTCTCAATTTTGTACCATCTTATTAGTCCTTCTTATTAACCCTTTCAATACTGATAATGACTCATGTTTACCACCAGTGAAAAGCCACGTCTTTAATTTATGATTTAACTGTCTGATAAAACTTAATTTTGTTTACTTTTCATGAGCATTTGATCTTAACACTGCTGAATTTCTTAAGTTGACTTTTCCAGCTTCCATTTTTGGAACTGTCTATTATTAGTTTTAGGGACATCCAAGTTGAAAATTTGATTAAAGTCAGCCAACAGCATAGAGCCTGGTCAGTATGCACTGATATACAGGCTGTGGCCTTGCTCTTTTCTGGTGGCAACCACGAACCACTTTCGGTGCCAGTAGTTTAAGGGTTAAGACACACTGGCAGGGCGACCTTTCAGTTTAACTGCAGCAAGAAGACCACAGATCGGCCATGCAATATTTCAGGCAGAAATAGGCATCTAGGTAGAAACACGGACCTTCAGTATAGTGAAATAATCCACAGTTCCTTGAATTAAAACTCACAGTGATGTCAGAAGGATAGTGATTTAAAGTGAGAGACTTTCACAACTATACCCCACTGAGGCCCCACCTAAAGATGTTGAAACATGAGAATTTTTTTTAAAGAGTATTAAGTAGAGGTGTGTAAAATTTGTAAATGTAAACTTTTTATTTTCAGTCAAATGAATTTAAACACAATAGAGCTCTGTTCGAATTGAATGCAAAGAAGTGGACAGAAAAACATGCTAAACAGGTAAATCATAAAGATTTTATGTGGAAATGTTTTATTTTTCTTTTGTGAAAAACTCTTGTTTCTTCTCTAGTGAGAAACTTACGTTCTTCTTTTGTGAGAATATCATGTTACTTTACTTGCCAGGAAATTGTCAGCAAGCTTTTGCAGGTAGGTTGTTTTACCTAGGGATCATTGGTCCAATACTAAGACACACACATTGTAAGCACTTTCATTTGATTCTAAAAAAATGAAAACTGCTTTTTTTGTGAACATTGCAATCAACTCTTCAAAACATAAGTCACATATGTGTATTTGATGAGAAAGCTAGCTGTGCCATGATTGATTGATTGATTGATCATATTTGAGTCACCAAAATAAAATGTATGTTTCAAAGAAAAAAATGAGCTATGAAGAATGCTTGCTGCATCATAATTGTGCAAAAGCTTTACTATTGCCCATTTTTAATACATTTTAAGTGTTATTAACATAAAACTTGGATTATTTTTTACTGATCTGATGACAAAGTGCAGTTGCTAGACAATGTGCATACTTCTGAAAGCTACAGTTTTGGAGTTATGCCCCTTTTTAACATAAGTGTTTTAATATTATGAGTGTTTTAACGCTATGACAAGTTTTACATTATGAGTGTTTTAATGCTATGACAAGTTTTACATTATGAGTGTTTTAACCCTATGACAAGTTTTACATTATGAGGGTTTTAACCCTATGACAAGTTTTACATTATGAGGGTTTTAATGCTATGACAAGTTTTACATTATGAGGGTTTTAACGCTATGACAAGTTTTACATTATGAGGGTTTTAACCCTATGACAAGTTTTACATTATGAGGGTTTTAACGCTATAACAAGTTTTACATTATGAGGGTTTTAACGCTATGACAAGTTTTACATTATGAGGGTTTTAACGCTATGACAAGTTTTACATTATGAGGGTTTTAACGCTATGACAAGTTTTACATTATGAGTGTTTTAACGGTATGACAAGTTTTACATTATGAGTGTTTTAACCCTATGACAAGTTTTACATTATGAGGGTTTTAATGCTATGACAAGTTTTACATTATGAGAGTTTTAACGCTATGACAAGTTTTACATTATGAGGGTTTTAACCCTATGACAAGTTTTACATTATGAGTGTTTTAATGCTATGACAAGTTTTACATTATGAGTGTTTTTAACGGTATGACAAGTTTTACATTATGAGTGTTTTAACCCTATGACAAGTTTTACATTATGAGGGTTTTAACGCTATGACAAGTTTTACATTATGAGGGTTTTAACGCTATGACAAGTTTTACATTATGAGTGTTTTAACGGTATGACAAGTTTTACATTATGAGTGTTTTAACGCTATGACAAGTTTTAGGTTATGAGTGTTTTAACCCTATGACAAGTTTTACGTTATGAGGGTTTTAACCCTATGACAAGTTTTACGTTATGAGGGTTTTAACGCTATGACAAGTTTTACATTATGAGGGTTTTAACGCTATGACAAGTTTTACGTTATGAGGGTTTTAACGCTATGACAAGTTTTACGTTATGAGGGTTTTAACGCTATGACAAGTTTTACGTTATGAGTGTTTTAACGCTATGACAAGTTTTACGTTATGAGTGTTTTAACGCTATGACAAGTTTTACGTTATGAGTGTTTTAACGCTATGACAAGTTTTACGTTATGAGGGTTTTAACGCTATGACAAGTTTTACGTTATGAGTGTTTTAACGCTATGACAAGTTTTACGTTATGAGGGTTTTAACGCTATGACAAGTTTTACGTTATGAGGGTTTTAACGCTATGACAAGTTTTACGTTATGAGGGTTTTAACGCTATGACAAGTTTTACGTTATGAGGGTTTTAACGCTATGACAAGTTTTACATTATGAGGGTTTTAACGCTATGACAAGTTTTACGTTATGAGGGTTTTAACGCTATGACAAGTTTTACGTTATGAGGGTTTTAACGCTATGACAAGTTTTACGTTATGAGGGTTTTAACGCTATGACAAGTTTTACGTTATGAGGGTTTTAACGCTATGACAAGTTTTACGTTATGAGTGTTTTAACGCTATGACAAGTTTTACATTATGAGGGTTTTAACCCTATGACAAGTTCTACATTATGAGGGTTTTAACGCTATGACAAGTTTTACATTATGAGGGTTTTAATGCTATGACAAGTTTTACAATTATTACGAGTGTTTATACAATATGAGTAGTTTATCACAATGAGTGTTTAAAACATCATGAGTTATTTATGTTAGTTAATGAGTGTTAAAATAGTGTACGTATTTCACCATTTATGATTTTTTTAATCAGTAAGAGTGTTAAAGTTTTAGCAATATGAGTGTTTGAACATCACTAGTATCTGAATGTTTCTAGAAAATGTGTTTGTTAATTGTTTTCATCATTTGTTTTTAAATTTGATCTCATGGCTATATTTTACAGGAAGCAACAGACATTGTGGCTGATAACGAGAAAGACGAAAGTGAAAAAAATGAAAGTGATGGAGATAATATTGATAAAGTAAAACAAAACAAAGATACAGTATCTAGTGATCATGCTGATAGGAAAAGGACATTACCTATGGATGATGTGACAAATAAACAGTTGAAGACGTCGTAAAAAAATACAGCGATATGGTTGCCATGGCAACAGTTTGTGAACTTATTTTTTGTATTCATCAACATTTGAAGTCCCTTTTTGTATTCATCAACATTTGAATTCCCATATTCCTCTGAGAATGGAAATTGGAATTCTGAAAATTAATATGTCCGATATTCTGAATTGGACTTAAAATTATGATTTTTTTTTTATTTTGTTCATATATTTGTTGAATATATTAATAGATTGTAATGAAACTTAGCCTTATCATAAAATATGGCATTCTTAAAGAAAGCTCTATGTTTTGAAGTTCAAATCTTTATTTTTTCAGGCATGAAATGTTAAATATTCCAGGCCGTATATTAGATGAGCCGCGTCATGATAAAATCAATGTAATGCGTTTGTGACCAGCATGGATCCTGACCAGCCTGGCATCCGTGCAGTCTGATCAGGATCCATGCTGTTTGCTTACAAACTATTACAAGTAGAGAAACTGATAGCGAACAGCATGGATCCTGTTCAGACTGTGCGGATGCGCAGGCTGGTCTGGATCCATGCTGGTCGCAAACCCACTATGTTGGTTTTGTTGTGACGCGGCTAATATCTTTTTGCTATTTTTTTTTTTTTTAATGAGCAGCTGGATGTCCTTTGTCATTTAAAATTTTTGTCTTGACAGTGATTTTAGATTGGTCATGTGACTTGTTTATGTCATTCTTTTTGTGTGTGGGTGGCATGTCATTTTCGTGACCTGAAAATATCGTATAGAATCAAAAGCTCAGTCATGACCTGAGAATATCTTTGTGGGACCCTTGAATGTCATGCGACATGTGCATGAATGTCATGTGACTTATGCATATCAGTTATCTGGCATTTGTGTGTCAATTTTGTGAGCATTAGCCTAATGTTTTATTTAGACATACAGACCCAAAATATTATATTAGTGGTGGCGTGGCTGAGTGGTTACACGTCTGACTAGTAATCTAAGGATTGCTGACTGCATGGGTTCAAACCCTGTCAGGGGCAAGCCGTTGTTTCCTTGAGCAAGCAAACTTTACATTCATTGCTTAGTACTGGTTGGTTCCAGGAATGGATTCGAGAGTGTTTAAATAAGCTTATAGCTTCCAACACAACCGAACTAAATGAATTTGTATAAACTAAAATATTATATAAAATTAATTTTAATAAAAGTAAAAAAATATATTTTTTTAATTAATTGTGTATAACTTTAATAACAACTTTGTAATGTAATTTATATTCATACATCACAACAGACTGTATATACAAAAACTTACAATAAATGTACATGTATGTATCAAATCTAAATCAGCACAAATGACCCTCAAAATTATATAACCATCAAAAATAGCCTTTGTTTTGAAAAGAAATAAAATAAAAATGACTTAATACCATAAATTGTTTAATATAGAATAAAAAAATTTGCATTTTACGTTCGTATTTGACTTTCTCAATTACTCTTTGGGCAAGTCCATTCTGCTGAAATTGTGTAATTTTCATAATTACAGACTTGCCCTCTTTAAATTTGGAACTGCCCAAATCAATTTAAACAGTATTTTATTTATTTACGTGATATATTGGAGATAAATTGTATGGATTGAATAGAAATATTTACAAACTTAAGATATTTCAATAATATTTAAACAATCAAATATCGAGATTTTGGCTGTGTGGTTAAGGTTGCTGACTTCAGAACACTTGTCCCTCACCACTGTGGGTTTGAATCCCGACCAGGACCTTAAATTCTTTCATGTGAAGACGATTAAACAGCTAGCTTAATTAAGGAAGACCAGTGGTTCTACTCCGGTACTCGCTTACGGTCTGAAAGCTATGGTCTTCCTCCACAAGGAAAGCTACTGACTGACTGTTATAGTGTCAGTGTGGTTTCAAAACATAGTGAAACCAAGCAATAGATGATATATATAAATTTACACGATAATAAATTGATAATCGATTTTTGACCGATTTGAGTAAAAAGCGTTGCAACGGTCTGAAATTTTGCACACGAGTTATTTATTGGTCTAGACATACAAAGACTATTTACACAAAAAAATTGAAAATATGTATTCCATCTCTTTACGTAAAAATCATCAGTGGAGTCCCTTTAATTAAGGAAGACCAGTGATTCCACTACGGTGCTCGCTTAAAGTCTGAAAGCTATGGTCTTCCTACACAAGTAAAGCTACCAGATGACCCTTATAGTGTCAGTGTGGTTTCAAAACCCTACATACGAAATGAAATGAAATTAAGCAACCAACATATTATAGTTTGGTCAGAGCTCCTTAGACATACACGTTGCTCTTCACTAGCTGTCTTGATCACTTCTAGCATGGTTATTAAGGAAGACTATAAAAAATTGTACAAAATGGTAAATGTTTTAAACTTTTCATTCATTATTAAAAAGTCCACCCTTTTACTGTGTTAATCACATTTATGATGACTAATGTAGTTCAGTCTTGCACATGTTTTACTGAAAATATAGAGAAGTAAAGAATCCCTAAAGAACGCACAAAACGACTAGTTGAAAATGTTGCAGGCTCGGTTTTACTGAGCCTGTTCATGGATGGTTATAGAAAGTGAAAGTTACCGTCAACGCCCCCTAGCACCGTCTTAAGCAGAATTCACCATTTAATCATGGTAATGGTGAAATTTTGAATTTACTTTAATTGCAATGTTTAGATGATTTAGTTTAAAGAATAAACAGAATTAACACCATTTGCAGATAAATACTTGGCTACTTCTCATAGTGGAAAAAATTCAAATGGAGATGCGGCGATATTTGATATTATGTTTATCATATTTATATGTACACACAAGTTCATCTTGTTTGATTGATTGATTGGATTTTACGTCACAGCGACATAGTATAGGACATATGGCGACGTTCCAGCTGTGCTGGTGGAGGAAAACCTCGGGGGTGCCCTTCTGTGTATTATTTCAGGCACGAACGGGCACCTGAGTAGAACCACCTACGTTCCTGGAACGTAAGCTAACTGGATAGCTCCCTCACATGAATGAGTCCTACATATGTCCCTGTCGGGATTTGAACCTACAGCAGTGAGGGGCATGCGGTTTGAAGTCAAAGACCTTAACCACACGGCCCACGGACGCCCGAGTTCATCTTGTCAACTTCGGTAAACAAGTTGTGATTATGTGTGAATTAACTGATAATTGATAATGTTATCAGGACCAGACATAAATGATACAAATAAAATTATCACAACGCGACATCTGAAGATGTAGATAACCGAATTTTATATAAATGATGCAACAAAACTTATGAGATTTTTTTTACCAATGGGTATTATATTGGTTAGGGAAGATAGGTTTGTGGTCTGAACTAAAAGGGCTGAGGGATCCCAATTAACTTCAGGCCTTGTTTCAGAATGCGGGGGGGGGGGGGGGCATAAGGGGTCCCTTGAGATTTGGCTTTTTCCCCTCTACACTACGCTACTCAGCCCAGCCTCGAAATCTTCAGACTTTCTCTTGTAATAAAATCCTTGTTCCATGCCTGAAATCTAAATGTTAAACTGGGATGTAGCTATAGTCACAAATCCCATGGCCCATCCCCACCCACCATCGTTGTAGTTTTGAATATCCTTTCAGCTACCTTACCGACGTAAGCTACAGTTACATATTGGCAGAATCATATAAGTTAAGTAAAATAGTTCAAATCCAAAGGTAGATTACTTCTAAATCGAGCATGGTAATCACTGATTCCTTTTGCTTAAAATGTTTCTGTTATCGTGTAAAAAGGTAATTAATAAGAACTCTAATAGTTAGGCTGTCATTAATGCAAAATTTTGTATCGATATATCAAGAGATAAATATCGACCATATATCGACTTTAACAATAGATTCAATAAAAAACATTTGAATATGTGTTGCGGCTCGTGAAAATGTATGGAATTTTATCATATTTCGATAAAAATATATTCCATATTTCACTCAGACGAAAATATATCCTCTTAATATTCACTAACATAAATAAATTTTAGCTTGTTTCGCTATTTGAAAGTGTGTATCGATATTGTATCGGATGATGAATATCGATGATATATCGATATTGCGATATTCAATGACAGCCCTACCATTAGTACTAAGGTTTGTAACATTACGAGACATGAAATAATGTTTCGCGATTTTTTTTACCTTTTGAGGAAGGTTTATATCATCCATATTTCCATCAATTCAAAATGACCCTCAAGCTGGCTTATAAATCATACAAAAAAGCGAATTCCACTTTTTCAGGGTATATCTCTTTATCATTATTTTAAATATCTAACTTACAGTGTGCCATTCGATATTTATAACAGTTAAATTTAGGTTAAACTTGACAAACTCGGTTCCATTCTTTATAAGCTGGTCCAATGTTTCTTGAACTGAAAAGGGCCACATTTCATTTAGTAGCGACGTACGTGTCATGTATCTTGTAATTAGGTTAAAGAAAAAGCGGTCTACCTTTTAACATAAGAAAAAAACGGTCATTTTGAGAGCTTACTGTATATATATTCAGACGTGTGCAATGGTCATCTGATTACACTGTCTAGTTAAAATACTCAGTGACCGTGACTCTGATTTCGGACAAAGCTGAAAGCCGAGGCCACGTGTTATTGCGCTTTAAACTTTGTAGATTAAAGAAATGACTGGAGCGGCGCTATTTTTTTTGTATCGGCTACACTGTAACAAGAATAATTACAAGAGTCACCACCAAGCGAGGACCACGCTCGACTTTTCTTATTTCCAAAATCAAACACGCCAAAGGAAGTATACTGTAGTAAACAGTACTCCTAGAAAACATAAATTTCTTGTACAAAATATAGCTCAAATTTCATATATGACTTCATCAGTCAAGGTTATGTTCAAATAAAGGTCATACTTAAATTATTCAACTTGTCGATATTACCTTGTCTGAGTATGAATCAAATCTCTCCATTATGATATATGATAATAAAGAACAAAGTAATGGAACTTTTAAACTATATTCATTATCATGACCATAACAGTCAAGCTCAGAGTCATATTTATACGATTATTTTGTCCAAATATAAATCAAATTTGTGAATAAATAACAAAAGTTATGAAATCTAAGCTAAATTCAATCATTTGACATTGACGGTCAAGGTCATTTATAGTTTCATGTCATACATGAATTGCTTGACATGTCTGGTTTGTTATAAGTGTTCTTTGATTCAAGTATAAAGCAAACCCATAGATAAATTACAAGATAGTGGCAAAATTTCAGCAAGTTCAGCAATTTAATACTAAGGGTCAAGGTCCAATTAAAGTCAAGGTCAAAAGAATTTTCTTTAATTTCTTGTCCAAGTCTTGTTGTTATGACGACAATCCATTTATTACTTTTAAGTTGTAAGAAATTATAGCACCCCCCCCCCCCTTGAAATAAGTATATTTTGACATTCAAGGTCATGGACATTTATGGGACAATATCAAAATGATGTTGATCTTCTTGAAGACATTGTCCTTAAGGTATTTGTGTTCCAGTATGACAATCGATCCATTTATGAATAACAAATTTGTAGTCAATTATATAAAAATCAAGAAAAAAATAACCGTGGAGGTCAAGGTCATTTATAAGTCAATGTCAATGTCAAGCTCACTCTGGACTATTTAAAGGTCTTGTCCAAAGATTGTTGTGCGTAAGTATGAAATCAATTCATTATGAAATACCAAAATAATGTCCAATCTTCTTGGACGGCAACTGTAGCAATAGCTCAAATGTTTTCTTCGAAAAAGTCGAGCTAAAAAAATCATAGAGTCGCCTGTACAGATGTGCTTCTGGTGGTGACTATAAATAAACGTATATAACTTTCTTCTTGAAACATTTGCCTTTATAAGAGAAAATCAGACCGCCAGAAAGAATTACTTTTTCTGATGATATAAATGAATTTTTACACAAATAGATGATAGAGTTTTTTCATGAGAAAACTTTTTAGAAAGAACGTTCTGCATTAGATTTCTTATCTCGATATATTCATTTTGCTAGAGTGCATTACAAAGCTGTCATTTTAAAATGACAAGGTGAACAAAGTCTTTCCATAAAGTTTACAGGAACAACAATGTCCTATCAACATTTTTTCCAGAATGGATGGTGCTAATGTGCGTGTTATTCGGGGAAAAGAGAATGCGAAAATAAGTACCATTGTCCCTAATTAAAATTTACAAACTATTTGCACTTTTACAACGTTTTGTTTGTTTAAATTCATGATAATATATAATGATAATTAGTCGGTCGTGACGTGGCTTATTATCAGTAATTTGATTGTTGTCGGATAGATAATCATGATAATGGTGATTAAAATGTCTGGGTATGTTAGTCAAGGCTTATTTCACCGGGTATTCACTTTATAATGTAGCATGTGTTAAAATCTCATGTGCTTATTACAGTTATGTTGGTTTCTGGGTTTTAAATAAGTAGAACGGTTTTTAGTGTACCATGTGTTGAAATCTCTTTTGCTTATTACAATTATGTTATTTTGACGGTTGTTAAATAAGTGGAACGGTTTTTAGGGAGTTTCAAGGTTAAAGGAACTCAACTAAGGTCCAAAACCCTAAAAACATAAAAAATTGTATTGTGTTGATGAATCAGCTGGGACACTTCACACAGAAAAAAAATGAGAAAAATAATTCAGAAATATTCTAAAATGAATTCAAAATTTTATTTTTTGTGTGCTATTTTCAGCCTGATTTAAGTTGCAACGCTTTTCCATTTTTGGTCATTTTCACAATAAGAATTATTCTAGAAAAAAAACGGAGGGAGCTAATGATCTGAAATTTTGCACACATGTAACTGCTCTGGACGTTTATCAAATTGAACATTAATCTCAAAAAACAATTTTAGTCCTGTCATGTCAAAACTACCTCAGTGGAGTCCCTTTAATATAGAAAAAAAATTGAACCATATTCCTCTTAAAGACCGATTGTTTCACTCAGTATGAAGGTTATCCCAGTGAACCTTTACTAAAATTTAACGAATCCTTATTTGTTTTGCATATTAACCTTATTATTGGAGCCACAATGCTAGAAGCTGCTTCAGTGTTGTTGAAATAATGACAAATGGCCGAAAGTTGACTGAACCTTAGTGTACATGTTTTTGCATATTCTGGCAATTTCTTCTTCCCAACAAAACCACCTTGTACCATATGTCATTGCCAATAGCTCTAGCATTGAATTACTCTGGTATTCTACTATATGTAAACTTGTTTTGTCATGGTTTATTAAGAAATGAAAATAATTTAGCGCGTTGCACATTTTAACGATTTCATTTGTAAAATTGTTAAATAAGTGATTAAAATTTTAGCTGTCTAGAAAAAAGATTTCAAAATCGTTATAAATGTATTGTTTTTACTAAGTTTGGCACGGTAGACATTTTTTTTGTATTTTAAACTTGTATAACGGCGAAAAATTGTCGTTAGCTTTTTTTTCTCTTGTTCATCATTCACACTATAAGAAAGAAAGAAGAAAAAGATAAAGAATGAAAGAGTAGAAAGAAAAATAAGAAAGAAAAAAAGAAAGGAAGGAAGGAAGAAAGGGTAAATAATTAAGCTGACAGTATCATTTTTAGTACGAAATCATACAAACGTGGACGTTATCTATGATATGTAATCACAACTGAACAAAGGTTGGTAAACAACCTATTGTTATCCGTATATATCCGTATATTTCCACCTACCTTACATGTACATCTCACATGATGATAACAATACTTGCATATAAAGACCGCACTGTTTCCCATCTTGTCCATTTTTAAATGAAATTAGGTAAATACTGTACAAGTTACTAAAAATAGACCAAGACTAAAAATGTGGCTGTTTGCTGGATTAATGATATTCTCTGCTTTAATAATAATAATTTTAATAATTTTGACTCACTTTCTTTCAGCAAAGGCAGAAATAACGAATTTAGATAAACGTTATGTCTTTATAACTGGTTGTGATACAGGTTTTGGTAATTTATTGGCGCGAAATCTCGACACAAAAGGTATAAATGTTATTGCCGGATGTCTCACAGAATCCGGTATGAAAGGTCTAAAATTAGTGACTTCCGCTAGACTAAAGACTGTCCAAATTGACGTTACTGACAAGGAATCAATCAACGCTGCGTTTGAGTTTACAAAGAATAATATTGGCAATGAAGGTAAGAAAAAATAAGAAATAAACAACTTTACAGTTCAATGTAAGATATTGACCTACTTTAACAAGTATACCTGTTTAAATGAAGCAGTCTAAACTCCACATCAATTTACAAATTTATCATAAAACGAAAAAAATGTGTTCCATGAACTTATTATAAGAACATAACAAATAACAACATGAACATAGCAATACAAATAAAGAGCAAGAATAATTATAATTAAGCCTTACTTAAAATGTGATCTTTATAAAATCAAACGATAAAAAAGAAACAGTTTTTACGTCAAATGCATTCTTATGTTTGTCCCAATTTTAGGACTGTGGGGATTGGTCAACAATGCTGGCATAATGCCAACGTTTGCACCCGCTGAATGGACACCCATCGAAGCTTTTGAGGGAGCATGTAAAGTTAATCTGTTTGGAACAATATCTGTCAGTTTGAAATTTCTGCCTCTTTTACGACAGTCGCAAGGCAGACTTGTTAACGTCAGTAGCGTGACGTCAACATGCGCTTATCCGGGAATAGCCAATTACGTAATATCAAAAGCTGGCGTCAAGATGTTCTCATCTTGTTTACGGTATGTTTTATTTTCGACATGGCTTTCAAAAGCATGAAACAGTAGTAATAAAAGACATGTGCACTAGCAAAACTACAAGGTTCCTGCTGCTTTGTAATAAACATGGTTCAGCATGTAACATGATGTATTGTTGAGGCCTATTGCACAACGTCATGCATCAGTAGCCATGTATTCAAAATACTTTGGGGTTTTAGACATATTAAATGCCTTAATGTAAAAACTACATTTAGTAACGTTATTTAATCTGTATTGATGCCAATACTTAGCAATACCAGGGGTTATAACCACCTACCTGCTGGAGCTAAGAGATGCATAGGCTCCAGTAATTCGAGCAGTAATTCGCATGGATAAACGGTGGTTACAACCCTTAAAAGGCATCCCCTCAGCCACAAGGGGCACGCCTTCCTCAGCCACAAGGGGCACGCCTTAAATCAACCATGGTTGTTCTTGTCTTCCAACTAACTTTTCAAATTGTTAATTTCATTTATAATATTGGTTTGTTTAAGTCTTTTATGATTACACAAAATACCCCTTTTACAGACGTGAATTGTTCAATTCTGGCGTGACAGTCCACTCTATAGAACCAGGTGGTTTTAAAACGAACATAACCGAACAAGACCGACTGTTGAATATATTAAAAAAGGGTTACATGAAAGCTGAGCCCGAGACAAGAGAATTTTATGGTGGGAGAATTTCAAGTTACAGTAAGTTTCTTTTGAATCATTTTATGACCAAATAATCTTTCAGAAACTATACTTAAATTGATAGTAGAGCTTTTTTATTTAAACCTTTCAAAATGTTTAAGAAGTGTACCCCAATTTTTAAAGGGAAAATCTTAACATTTATAATAATATCCTTAGGACACTTTTATATTTGATTCATAAGCTTCCTCTTCGAAGTGCTATATAACAATATAATACCTTATGTGACTGTGTACCTTCTTTGTGTTTATATATGTATCAGCGGGACTTTAAATAATATAATATTCTTGTTATATAATATTCTATTATAATCATAATTGATATATTCTCAATGACGTTAGCGGTCCGACAAAAAAGTAAAGTGACCGTCTAAGCGGGCACTATTACTTTTTTGTAGAACCGTTAAAATTTAGTGGCGTGTACGCAAGGAACATTTCTTACAAACAAAGCTGACATGATTTTTACTGGTAATTTTGTTATTTTAAACAATAATATTTATTTTTTAACCTTTACAATTATATTTTAGTAAAATGCGATATAATAGAAGAAATAAGTCCTTGGTCGGACCTCAACCTTCGACCCGTTAAATGTGTTCGTGCTAACTACTAGGTCACAATAATGCTACGAGGCCCTCATTACTGTGTACGATTTCTTAGATGTTGTTGAACAACTAGCACGAGTTGCCATGTATACAATATTAAATGAATTTCAACGTTGCAGTATTGGACATTTGGTGACATAGCATATATAGCTCAAATTATAAAAATGAGGCGTAAGGTAATCGTAGCAAAAGTTTATATCTTATCTTATTTCAGTTATTGAAGGAATGAAATTGTCTGCTAAACACGTGAGCGGTGACCCACAAGATGTTGCAGACGCCATGACTCATGCTCTTGTTGCTAAGTATCCTAAAATTCGTTATCTTGTCGGAATGGACGCTAAGCTCTTCTTCCGGTTGGTGACGTGGCTTCCGGAATGGATTGTGGATAATATTTTTGGCTGGCCATCGCCATACGGAAAAGTTGGAGAAGATCTCAAAGAATTAGACGATTTGAAAAACAAGTGAACAAATGGCTGACAGAGGGGACATTTCATTAACTCTGAAAAAAATGTTTGATCTCCATTATTTCACATACTTTAAAATTAGAAATGTGCTCATTTAGGATAACAGTGTTCATTTTTAAGCAGTTGGAATTTTGAAACTTGAAAAACTTTTACTTGAAACGCTAAAAAAGAAATTTTTTATTTTATTAAATTAACCTTATTATAAATAATAATTTGGTGAGAAGCTAAATAATTTACTAGACCAGTCAATGTACTCGTTAATTTCCGCGAAAGTACGTATATATTCGCTTCTTAGCATCGAACGTATACGAACAGTTGCCGATTTTCATTTTCGGTCCATAATCTGGATTTAGGTCATTTGTACCAATTTTTACGATTACATATAATGTTGTTTATTTGTATATTTGTGTATATACTTATGTAAATATTTGTAAATAATCCTTCTAAATTATGCTGAACAAAACAACGCAACACATTTATTTTCATACTCTGTTTATTTCACTTAATGTTGTTGAATTCATTTTCAAGCAAATGCTTCACATCACCACTATGCACAAACAATGCAAAACAAACTATTTCAATCTCATGCACAGATGAACACACTTATGTATGTGTTTCATTAACCATTGTAAATATTATTCATTGCTGCCACCGAATAAAAATATGAAAAAAAATGTTTTTGAAATTTTGTTCCTTTAATTACGATGATATAGAGCTAAACGAACAAACAATATCGATGAAACTTTGCCTGTTTCCTATATCATTGAGGTGCTCTTAATTCGACCATCACCTAAAGTCAACACCTAATCTGTTTATGTCCCAAAATCTCTTGATAATGTCCATTTAGAAAAAAATAAAACGAATGGTTGCGGATTCAAATTTGTACAAATTTGGAGGGTCTAATTTACAGAATTATAAGACTTGAAGCTCTAGAAAATTTTAATAATGTACCTTAAAGTTAAATATTGTGAAGTTAATAAAGTAAATAATTTATACATTGCAAAGACGTCAAAATATACTAAGCAAAAGTGTCCTTAATTCGTTAGTAATGCAATAGAAAATTTTGTGAAATTGAAAATGCGTAAATATTTTACTAACAAGAATAACATCAAACTTTTTGCGACGTTGTATAACTGCAGAACGATTCGCAATGCCCAAATACTGAAAAATTATTAATCAGTGTGTTCTTAAGAAGACTTTTGTCTAGACAAGTGTCTATAAGTTCCAAATTAAATCATGCTTTTTTGTAGGATGTTACACGTAGTGCAAACATTAGTATATAATGCACACAAGGGGGCATAATTGATTCGACAAGTAGTTATACAAGGTGTGAGTTTATACACAAAACATCAAACGGTTTTCATGTAGTACTTTACTTTATAATGCGGTTTATTAGGGCATATACACCTATATCAAGGTGTCCTGTATATCGTGCAAAGTTGGGATGATGTATCTATAGATCATTGTCTATTTAAAGCGTAAAGACTTTTATTACGCGACCTCCTAATGACTCTTATTGTGATTAAAATAGAAATTAAAAAATGTGCCGCCCCTGTTTGACCACAAATGATATTTTAAATGTCTTATTTAGCATACCGTGACCTTATTCTAATAAATAAGCTGATCTGTTTGTTACTTATAAATAAATGCTAACTATTTCCGCATTTCAAAGTAAGACATATATATTTTAATTGATCTATAAAAGTAACTTTCTCTGTGGTATTAAATGTCCCAAAAGTTCAGTTGTAACTGAAAGTAAACACATATTTGCAAACAGATAAATCAGACTGAAATCTATCACAACCAATACCTTTAATCAGAACGCAAGCCATACAGGCATCTTAGGCGAGTTTTACCTCGGGGATTTAAAAATATCAAATTTTACTTAAAAACGAAATTACGTGCATAACTAATTCTCTTAAAACTAAGGCTTAAACATTTTATAAATTTGTGATGTCCTCGTATAACATGTATTGTAAAAGCAATATGGTTCAACCATTACCTTGCAAACTTTGCAAAATAAATATGATTTGTCATAACCCTATTTTTAGATTTTAAGCATTACAATTGCAGTCATGGAATTGATTTATTTTAAATTTAGCCTGGCGACAAAAGCTTTACAAGATCTGCCAGCATGAGTTCGCTGTTCTCCATTCAGTCAGTTAATATTTTGATATTTTCGTTAAAATGATAAATTGTGTTTTCCGAGTTGAAAGATGGATATCAAAATTATTTAGGTCTAAAGATTAATTAAGATTAACTTCAGATGGCAAGCCACGGGTCTCGAACCATCAGCAGGACTTAACGAGTTGAAGTCTCTTTCTTTATTTAGAATGATTTTTATTGGTAACAATGAATGATACTATCTGGAATAATTGTTATATAACAGTGTTATATGTTTGTTTTTTTTTAAATTTGAATAGGAGATGCCCTAGATTTATAAAATTGCCAAAAAACATTTTTTCTTACCTATCAAGTGATAGTTTTTGTGATAATTTATGTTTGTGCCGAAAGCGATGAATTTTCTTGACATTGTTGCAAAGTATATTTTGGCTTTGTTGAGCCTCTCATTTTAAAGATTACGAACTGTGGAAAAGCCGAAAATATCGTAAATTTTCGAGATAATGTCGATATGAGCGATTATATAATACAGATAATGAATCATGATTATCCCATAGTCTTCCAGCGGCAACTGAATCTATTCATGCATTAGCATTCAGTCATAATATATTTTTAATTTTCCCTACAACAGGTAAATATCTCTTATTATTGTCGAGCAGATTGTTTATTTTAAGAAAATTTTAAGAAAAACTGTTTCGTGTTAAAAGTCAGAAATCAACCTGTTTAACATTGACAAAATATAAGAACACGTTAGAGAATGAATAGATTCGTGCTGCCCATTAATACATGTATACGTCATTAAACTGACAGTCTCATTTTTTTAAATGTTATTTTTTTCTTCCGTATGTTTACACATAAAATTCACTAAATTTGACATTAAACTATTTTAAATGACGGAATGATATAAGATATTGCTTACCATTACATTACTCACCACTACTGACATTTAAAATTGTAGGTGGACATACGAAAATAATAAACACATAAACATCTTTTTGAAAGCATAATGACAGACGCGTGCCGTCTGTTTGTCATTTTTATTCGTTCGAAAAAAAAACAATACCCAGATAACAATTGTCAATGAGAGCCTATTGTTTACAAAATGCGTGACATCGTTAACATCTTCATGTTGACGGATTAAAAGCGTTTATTTTTTATGTAAAATAGTAAATCTCTTTTTTAAAATGAGACGAAAACGATGACTGCTAATAAACCCTTCCCAAATATTTATAGAAATTAATAATGGTAAATTCGATATCCTTGTGTCTTTTGTTGTGAGAAATGAAATGTTAAATTGCCTCATCAATTGATGGTCAACATATGTGATTTATATTATGAAATAAAAAGTATTTACGTTATTAGGTGATTTTATTGAAGCTTTCTTAGATACATATATCGTGCTGGACCGACATATGGAACTGGGGGGGAAAGTGATGCAAGAGACAACAATTTAAGTATCAAACATCTGAAAAAAAACACCAACAAAGCTCTTGTTTTAATCATTTTATTTTGGATTTATCTAACACAAAGTGATGATTTGAACAGAATACATTCACGTAGTCTATTTATAATACTGCAACTACATTAATAACAGACATGGGTTTATTTTTTAAAGTCTTACCCTGAAGACCAAACTCCTAAGCCGTTGTTATGTTATATATACTGGCTTGAACATTCGTTAAGGTTAAGGAGGATTATACACATTGACAAAGTATTAGTAATAGGTTTGGACACAATAATACATATATTAATCATAGAGATTTACTGTTTAAAGTCGGTAACTGCTTAAACCGAATCGAAATAAAACAAATGCAAAGATGTCATTGTTATAATAGATAGAAATATGAACTTGTTATATAAGTCAAATTTCTGTCACAACACAGTTTTGTAGCTGCGTATCTTCTCCAATATCACTTTTCTATGACTTTAGAAATATCTAGTTCAACATAAACATTACATATGCACGTGGATTTAAATGTATGTTGGCCACTAACAAAATGATGACCGCTAACACAAATGATTGTCTTACTACTTATCTATATAGCTCTGTCGAGTTCTTATGAATTATAAAATCTTGAGGGTTTCGGCATAGATGAGCTCCTGATACGCTGGAATGTACGTTTTTGTCTTTGTGAGCCAATGGTATTCTGCACTTCGGCCAGATGCTTAATTGTTGTTCTTCTAAATTTATCTTTGGTTTCTAGATATTTGTTGCCATTGTTTTTCTGATATTTTATCATTTGTTCACTTTTAATACTTGCAGTGTTATCTCCGAAATTAACTTGTTGTCGAGTAACTGCTGTGCGAGCTATTCCGTTTTCGTTTGTTTGAGTTTTTGCTCTATGAACTTGGTTTATCGTCTGATGACCACTATTGGTTCTTTGACTTTGACGGTTCGCAAAAGAAGCAGATGCCTCTGGAATAATAGCTCGTGTATTGTGTTGTTGCAAACGACGACGATTCAACTCTCTTTGAATGAATTTATCGCCATAACTGTTTTCGGATTTCGTTTCAAAATATTTTTCATCATCATTTTTGCTTCTCCCAATACTTCTCATATTGATGAAAGGACGATTTGTTTGGAGAAATCCTTGTGTACCCCGTTTCCTTCCGAAATATTTTTCGTCATCACTGTTTCTTCTTGTATCAATTCTTTGCCTGCGTCCGTTTACTTGATCTGGAAGGCTCGATTGAGGGAAAGGGTCACTTTTTCTATCAAAATATTGTTCGTCATAATTATGTTTTCTTCCAGACCGGAAGCGTTGCACTTGTTGGACTGACCGAGAATCAGAGTTTTCAAAATACTTTTCTTGATCTAGGTCTTTCCCATTGGCCTTATTAAAATCGTCTAGGTATTTTCTGCTTCTAGCCATATTCATCCGAAGTCTTGTCATCTTATCAAAACTCTCAAATATTTTGTCGTCAAGCCTGTGTACATAAGAACATTTTTAATGTCGTGTATCTATGTTAGAATAAATGCGTTGTAAAAATAAATTTCACATCTTTCACTTAGTCGCAGCAGTATTTGCTATCCATTTACCTTTATATATAAATTTCAATGACGTTTCATGTTAGCAATTATAAAGTAAACATTAACAAAGAGATCAAACGTCATGCATGTATCATTATTCTTATTTCAAGTAAAAAGATTTAACATTAAAATATTATTGATTTAAATTAAAAACCATTAAGAGTTGATGCTTTCAGTGGTTAAGGGTTTTATAGTACTTAGATCAATAAGAGATAGGACCCTCCTGGCCATGACCCTGCCAATATTTTTCAATCTAGTTCTATTCATAGAAAAGATTTCGAAGTAAACATTTTGAGTTAAAAGAAACAACATTGAAATAACTTACATGTTATCGCCATCGTTATCATAGTAACCCTCCTTTCTCTTTTCCAGTAAATCTTCAAATTGCTCATCAAAATCCTCGAATCGTTTTTCCCATTTTTCCTCAGAGTCAACACTATTTTCACCATTATCATTTCTACGACCATTAAAGTTATTTATTTTACCAGATGCGGTCTGAAGCCAGTGTCTTCTTCTATCCTCTGGAATGACTTGTGGTTCCACATACTCTCCTTTAGATGGAGGCGTACCGTCGTTAAAAGTAGGTGGTTGAGCTCGCGGAATGTCATATGCCGGCTGATGTCGTGGCATAGGAATAGGTGTGTAGGTTCTTGTAGGATATTGAGGTTGAGGTCTGTTTAGTGTAGCTGGTGGTTCAAAGGATTGTCTCCATCTGTAAATTCTTATGGGAAGGCGAGGAAATGGTTGTCTTCGGTTAATCCATGATGGTGGTTGATACATCGGGGGTCTATTTGGTCTTATTCTCAAATATATGAAAGGTGTTTTCCTCTTCATTGAATTCTTTATATATTTCATTTCCTTTTGATTCATCATTTCAATTGGCTTGATCGGTTTAAACGGTTTCATCCGATACATCGGTTTCATTTGTTTCATCGGACGCATGGGCTTCATTTGGACCCTCGATTTCATATTCATATGAAGGGGTTTTGTGCTCCTGAAGATCTTTGGTTGAACATAGCGAATCGCATTGAAAGGCGGACTATTCATTGGTGGGGGTAATATTTGCACATGTCGTCTTGAAATGAAGTTCCCCATGTTGTAATTATGAAATCCTCCTCTATACAATGGTGGTGTGAGCACCAGATGGTGTGGCATAGATGGGTGAAATGGATGCGAGAACTCTGAATAGTAACAATAAATGTTTCAAAATTTTACACAATTCTTAAAAGTAATTTCGTCTATATTAAACATTGTACATTTCAAATAAAAGAATTAATGCTCAAATTAAATAAAAAATATATATCAAATGAAAAATAGATATGACACATCTGCTTTTCATAAAGTAAATGTAATTTGCTACATTTTGAGGCTGTTCTACAAGTCTCATATGTTATACATTTTCTAATCTTTAAATCTACACATTTTTAAGGAGTACCCAATTATTTTCATTATTCATTAAAATGGTTTATAGGCTCTCTGCATTTTTGAAGAAAAGTTTAACTACTTTAATAAATATTTTTTTAATATTTAAATCTCTTTCAATACCATCATCAGTACTATTAATTCATAGACAAAAATAGACGAAATTTATATACTGCAGCATTTCAACATTTAAGTTTCGGTAAGAACAATGGCATTATGCAAATGCATTTTAAAACGATGAAATTTATATGTCTATATATAATGGCATCATCTAGTTGAATAATTGATAACATACTACCAATTATTCTTTTCAAAGAATATATATTTTCACCCACTATATCTAAGGAAATAAAAACAAAAATACCCCCGAAAAATAATAAATAACTAAAAATATATTTAAAGTAAAAATAAAATTATAAAAAAGTACGAAAATATATAATTACTTTTGATAGGATTATGGCATAAATATTATGACTGACACAAATTCAATCAACACCTTTTTATGCCTAAGTCGACATTTTGTTTAACAATAATTGAAATATTTTTTTCGTAAAAAATTAAGTTAAATTTCAGAAAACAATATTGAAAAAACTATAAATAAAAAAGAGGAAAGAAAATGGATAAGATAGATTTAAAGATGTTTTTACTTACTTGCATAACAGCATGTTATTGCAAGAACAAACAGAAGCAGCTGTATTAGTCCCATGTTAAATTGTAACTTAACTACAATCTCAGAGTCTCTAAAGTCCACCTTATATACTTTCACTCAAGTCTAAAAGAATCTTAATCATTCAGTCACAAATCAATAGTAGGTCCATATTTCATTCTTAAGGAATGTCCTACAAAAACATTAAATACGACCAAGAACAAAGCTTGACTTTTGCATAATTATCTTTTTTTTAATTACCATTATTAACTTTTATGCAAATGATTTTGAGTAACGTCATCAATTCTTCTTAACTGTAAAAAATATATTGCTTCTATCAATGACAATCCTTTTTTGCATACATAAAATTATTACTGTAGACTAACGTTATCTAGCGCTTTGAAAAAACGTTTCTTTTAAACTTAAATCTACTTATTTTTCGCAAAAATCATTTTCAATGGTTTTTTATCATTGAATGCATCGAATTACCTCCGGATGGTAAAAATTAACTCATTTATTTAAATGCTAAATACATTTTTCAAGTTGTACGAAAAACTCATTACGCAAACTAAACAGAGTTTACGTTTTGATGCGTTTAATTGTAGGTGACGCCCTTTAGTGGTAGTAATTATTGTTCCTAATTAGGAACTGAATACATAAATACAAGAATTGAGACGTTTAGAAAATTGACATGCTCTTTGAAGTGTTAAGGAAATACGTACGTGATAGAAATATAACGAATCATTTTAACATATGCTAATGAAATCATAGTTCATAACAATGTAAAAACATATGTTTAAACTATTGATATTTTTAGATTAAGTTTTCTCTGAATAAATTAATTGATTTAACTAAACGGAACTGAATATTTATCATGTCTTAGCTGTAATGAGAGGATAATTATTTCATTTGTTAAATATCAAAGGAAGTTATGTCAAAAGCCATGGAAAAGAGATCAACCCTTGAGTTTAATACTGTTCAAATAACATTTTGCTTTCAAATGTGTACGTATTCTGCATTTTGTGTGCCGAAGATAAATTCTTCTATATTAGGCGTTCAATATGATATGTTAGTAATCTTGATAAAAGGCAATAAAGGTGTTTTAAGACCTACATTTTATACAAAATAAATATCGCATTGTTTATACGCCATAAGTATCATACAAACATTTGATAATTCAAAAATGTCATTTATTCAAATCTAAGTCATTCGTATGATTGCTTTTACAATTTTTAAGGAAACTTTATATTAAAAATATTGTCAATTTTGATAAATACTTACCATTTTGACATAAATATTTATTTCAATGAAAACTTTATGACGTAATGACGTTTTAAGTCAAATGAAAGAAATACTCTAACAGCAAAAAAGATAAATTAAATCAAACTACTTAAGTTTTAATTATCTAATTACATTTCAATCCCTAATATTTCAATTTTTCACTATGAATAATTATAATTATACATATATACCTACCCCCCCTCGCATCGGCTTAAGAGTACTAAATTGATTACTTGCAATGTTTTCCGAATGACCCAAATATTGAGTATTATAAAAAACGAAATTAATAACTGATCACTTACATCATATGAACATACTAACGCTCAGGCATTTTGCCTCATGTTACAGATATTTCACGAGAATGTTTTCCTATATTGAAATGGGAGTCTGGTTGAACAATAAAAAATATGATGACAAAATATATAAGTTGATAACTTAAATATATGTTCATGACAACTATTCTTCAATTTCATTGCAATATGCTTGTTTAAGGTTTCAAAAACATATAGCTTAACCAGTTGGAATTTCCGGTTATTGTACACATTTTAATTACGATAATTTATGCAGAATTATCCAGAACAATTGTGCGAGAACGGGAAAACTTCTAGATTCAATCTATTGAGCAATTGTTTCTCACTATAGCCCTCTTGATTTGCTTCTTTGACTTCTATACTGAATTTTGATAAGAAAGCCCCCAAAGGAATGATAATGAAACTTATACAAATGTACTTCCTTAACCCATTGCTTCATGAGCATTTTGTTAAAAATAGCTGTTTTCATTTTAGCCTCTCACAAGTCTCACAAGCCTCTCACCAAAAGTTTCTTGGAGATTAGGCGGTCTACTGAAGCCCTTCAAACCCCCAAGCAGAAAGGGACGCATCTACCCCTCTGGCAGCCCCTTGATGTATCTGTTTGATTTTGTTTGTTTGTTCGTTTGTTTCATTTTACGCCTTTTTCCAACAGTATTTCTGTCATATAGGCTGGTAGTTTCCTAACCATCGTTCCTCGAGAGTTACACCAGTACTAGACTACCTTCCTCCGTGCTAAACTGCCAAAGCATCTCCCGGGGATCGAACCTACGCCAGAGAGGTAACTGGATTAGAAGTCATCGACTCTAATCCCTCGACCACGGAGGCGGTTGATATGGGATGACGACGAAAAAGTGATCAAATTTTTTAACACCATTTTTTAAACGAACACAAGTGTTTGGGCTCTAAATAAGGCATAATTTCACTATTTTAGGCCTTTAAAAGAGGAGGGGGGTTAAAGTTGTGAAAAGACGTCTTTAAGAAGCAATGGGTTAATAGAGTACACAAAAAGGTAAGTTTTGGACATACTTGTAAAACTTGCCCCCCCCCCCGTTTGCCAAATTTATACTCTTTTTCATGTAAACGGTGTTTTATAATATCAAATCAAATGGTAAAATGAAGGTCATGACACTTATCTTATAATGTTAGCTGATAATAAGTACATAATACAATTAATCTTATGAATTAGAATGAGGAAACATCAGTAAAGATTGATGGGTTGGCGTAAACTCTTGTACACATAGTTAAAATAAATCAAGCTGTACAATAGTATTGCACAAAACTCAAAAGAATATGTATTTTATTTAGCTTATTTTTACTCCTCTCGCCACAAAATGTCCGAAATTTATTCCTAGTTGGTGATTATTTTGATGTTGATAAATTGTCACCTTTTTAAAAAAATATGTGAAATGATCCAAATAATTGTACTATAGTTATTTGAATAAGGAATATTTTATCGTTTTTCACTAACACTAATAAATCTGATAAAAACACTGATATAAACGTAACAAAGTTCTTGTTTAATTATTTTATTTTGGATTTACCTAACACAAAGTGCTGATTTCAATAAAATACATTAACGTAGCCTATTTATAATACTACAACTACATTAATAACAGACATGGGTGCGATTTTTAAAGTCTTACCCTGAAGACCAAACTCCTAAGCCGCTTGTATGTTATAAAAACTGGTTTTAACATTCGTTTAGGAGGATTATACACATTAACAAAGTATAAGTAATAGATTCAGACACAACAATATATCAATCATATATATTAACTGTTTAAAATTCGTAACATCTTAACTGTTTTAACCGAATGGAAATAAAACAAATGCAAAGATGTCATTGAAATAATAGATAGAAATATGAACTTGTTTTATAAGTCATATTACTGTCACAACACAGTTTTGAAGCTGCATATCTTCTCCAATATCACTATTCTATGACTTCAGAAATATCTAGTTCAACATAAACATTAAACATGCACGTGGATTTACATGTATGTTGGCCACTGACAGAATGATGACCACTAACACAAATGATTGTCTTTCTACTTATCTATATAGCTCTGTCGAGATCTCATGATTTATAAAATCCTGAGGCCTTCGGGATAGATGAGCTTCTGATGTGCTGGAACGTACGTTTTCCTCTTTGAGAGCCGATGTTATTCTGCACCTCGGCCAGATGCTTAATTATTGTTCTTCTAAATTCATCTTTGTTTTCTAGGTATTTATTGTCATTGTCTCTCTGATATTGTATCATTTGTTTACTAGCAGTGTTATCTCTTCTAAATTCATCTTTGTTTTCTAGGTATTTATCGTCATTGTCTCTCTGATATTGTATCATTTGTTTACTAGCAGTGTTATCTCCAAAAGTAACTCGTCGAGAAACTGCAGGGCGTGCCATTCCAATTTCGTTTGTTTGTGTTTTTGCTCTATGAACTTGGTTTATCGTCTGATGACCACTATTGGGTCTTTGACTTTGACGGTTCGCAAAAGAAGCAGATGCCTCTG